TTTGGCGTGGCATGGAGGTGATCAGTTTGTGGCACTGCTGAGGTGGTATGGAAGCCCAGGTTTCTTTGACAGTGGCCTTCAGCTCATCTGCATTTTTTGGTCTCTTGTTTCTCATTTTCCTCTTGACAATACAATATATTTTTGGCTATTGCTACAAATATACCCCAGCGACTTAAGACTGGTTTTGTGCTCCAGGGTCACATATGGCTTTATTTTACTGTTGTAATATGCAGTTAGCGGTTTCACAAGTCCCGCCCCTCTCTGCAAAACCTGCCCTCTAAAGACGGGCACTTGTATTATGGGAATAACCACATTATAGGGATAAATTGCTGTGAATTAAAATGTACTTTTTATTAAGAAGGGCACTTGATACAAAAATACAAGATTACAATGCAAGTCCAAACATTTTTGAGACTCCCATTATTTGGGCTTGCTCTGATTATTTGAACAGAAGAAACTCTCTCCTCAACAGCTGAACACAAATCATCATGTACTGTATAGTTGATATGCCCCTTTCAAGACCATTATGGAGTTTGGGATGAAACATTAAAGAATCAAAGTCTCCACATCTACACAATGACAGATACTCTCTCTTGACAAAAAAAAAATCCAGGATGCCATGTCGGTCACAGCGCCAGCCACTGTTTAATTGCCTTTAGGGTCCACCTTCTCTTTTGCCTTTTTTTGCTTCTGTTGCATGATTTCAGCATCTCTGAAATACAAAAAAAGAAATTATATTCACATTCAGTGTGATACACTTCGTAATTCAATATATCTATTTGTTATTATTCTCTTTATATGTTGTACCTTTGCTTACGGGCAGCTGCTGAGAGGCCATCATCATTTCTCTTCCCTCTGGTATGGTCATTTATCTTCTTAGCGTTCTTCTGACGGGCAAGCTCACGCTGATTTCCCCCTGCAGGACAAGAGATCACATCGATCTTAATGGCTTATTCATGCTTTACTGCCTTGAATATACAAAGATTGCACACAGGATGGAACATGAATTAACAAGACACCGCGTTTAAAACTCCAGTCTGCAACTGGCAAATCTATTCAGTGTCAGGAAGTGTATTTTTAAAGTAAGGAACGTTGATGCTGTACCATTTAACTTGTAACCCCAAATCCGAGTACAGTATGATCAACACAGACATGTGTAGCAGTGAGGCAACGTGGCAAAGAGGGCGCCAGAGAGCTTTCATAACAATAACAAAACATCCGCACGAAACACTGAGGAAAACTATACAAAAAAACAACTTCTTGATCTTATGAAACATTTTGTCCACCCTTCCATAAAGAATTTCGCCGGGTGACATTACTAATAATAAATATTGTTGACAATATAATTTAAGTTTGCTAATGTGAAACGTTAACTTTCCACACAAAAACTAACTTTTAGTAAACATATAGAAAACGTTTTCCGTGTCGTAGTGTATATATAATAAACAATTAATAATCACTAACGTCACCATAAACCAGCATTTAGCCTTGTTTAGCAGGTTAATCTTGTGATTTCATTTCGTGGGTTCTACACACAGAATAAGCTAGCTAGCTAGCTAGCTAGTTAGCCTTGTATCGTACCGCTCCTGTAATCGGCTTTCTACTAAAGTACTTCCATTACGAATAGTAGAAGCTGAGCTCATGTCATCACAATTAATCAAAATCAATACACACTAGTCATGGTTGCTGTTTTTGTTGTCGCCGGAGCGCAAAGCTCAACCAGGCGCTGCCTCCTGTAACGTTACTAACGGTAGCTGCTGGCAGACCCGAGTCGATTCTGAAGCTTTGCGACAACACAGTATCGGAATACAGCAGCGTGTTTCCAAGTGGTTTTTGTAGAAATATAGTTCAATACAAAAGAGAAAAAAAAATACAGAACGAAGAACATCGAATATACGAGGCAATACAGAGGAGAGAGGGGAAAAAAACATTACAATTGATTTAAAAACCGTTCTATAATACGAGATGTCTTCAGAGCTTTTTTATTAGAGGAGAATTTTTGAAGTGATGATACTAATAAATGTAGATCAGAAGCAAATATTTTGCAGCTGGGTTTAAATTTAAGGTATCTAGCTTTGTGGATATGTATACCCATCATACAAATAAAGTTTAAGATATCATCTAACTCCTTATTCTCAGAAATATCAGAATGGAAAATAACCTTACTGATGGAAATACTACAGAGCTGGTGGATTACAAGAAACAGGGAAGCTGCATGTGTGTGTGTGTGTGTGTATATATATATATATATATACACACACATATACACATACAGATATTCTGTTGCTGCTATTGGTATAACGTTTCTATTTTTAAGAGATAAAGTATATTTAAATAGGAAATGGGACTAATATGTTAGGGAATGAGGCTAATACATTCGCTTTATTCTCTGAGATTTATTAATGAAGCTCTGGTCTAAGTGATTTTACAGATTCATATGCATTTTGCATGTTCTTTGTGCATGTACATATGCTATAAGGCAATGAATATGTTCCTCATTGTATTTAGAAATATCTATTTTTGTATTCCAGCAACATTTGAATATTTTTGTATTCTTCCGCCCTATGAGAGAATATTATTTTTAAATTTAAATTTTAAAATGAATACATTGCAAAGTAAATAGTACATGGTATCGTTTATTTTGACTCATGGCGGAATAAGGGAATATCTGACGTCCTCTCTCACCAGTCGTGAGGACGTGTAGAGTGAAGGTGTCAGTGTGAGGTTTTTACTGGTTGTCTTATTCTTCACAGATTTGATCATGTCGTCGGCGTGGACGGCGCGCCAAGGGGAAGCGGGTGATCTGGGCAGCAAGAGTAAAGATCAGCTCTTGGAGATGCTGTCAAGACAAGAAAAGTTACTGTCTAATAAGTAAGTGATTTCCCCCCTACTTTTCCCCATGTTATTTCATTTTACTTTAGCCTGAATATATAATTCATGATGTGTATAGCTAAATTAGGATTTAAGATTACTGGCTAGATTACTGTGCTGATTAAATATTCTGGATCATTCCGAATCCGTGGGCGCCCCCACAGTAACCTTATTATTAGTCGAGTAAATAATAGATCAGTGCATCCCATCAGTGCCACACAGTTGGGACAATTTATAGTGATGGGCAAATGAAGCGTGAAGCACTGAGGCTTTCCTCTGACTGTTTCGGGAAAAGATTAAAGGGGTCCTATTATGCTCTTTTACAAAGTCTTGATTTTTGTTTTTGGGGGTGTACTAGAACATGCTCTCATGCTTGGTGGTTCGAAAAACGCATTATTTTTCACATAATTTACAGTATTACAATACCTTAAGTTTCTCCCCAGCCTGGTGGCCCGCCTTCCGAAAAACAAAATGTGATGTGATTGGTTAGCTGTCCCAGTGCGTTGTGATTGGCGAAGAGCTTAGACGGTGTTTCAGTCCTGCCACGCCCCTTGCTCCGTCTTTCAACAAAAGCTTTTTGGCGAAACCGGTACTGTACTCCCTCATGTTGTGGAAGCTGTCCTCAGTAAAATGCGCAGCACACAATAGCAAATTGGGGTTATAATGCTCAGGAGCAGAGTTAAAAATAAATTGCAACCACTGTTTCCTGACATCATCCACTTTCGGAAGCCCAAACAAAGACGTTTGGGCATGGGGGTCAACATAACAGCGTTTCTTAAGACGGTCGCACACCAGACGAAAAGCATAGCGCAGTGTCGCATCACGCCACGTGTTTAAAATTCGAATACATTATTTTCTATGAGTGTACTCACACCAGCGGCGCTGTTCGGCGTCTGTCCGCGGCACCCAGCTACGTCGTGTTGTACTTGTTGTAAGAATTGTTCTAGACACGGCGCTGCGCTTCTCGTCCGTTATGTCACTGCCTTTAGACATGCCGAAACGTGACGCTACAGCAGCTCTTCTTCGTTTTCTCTGATGCATTAACTCTGCAGCAGCACCTCTTCGTCGTTGTCGTCTTGTCTGATGCACTCAGCCAAGCGTTCTAAGCACGACCTCGCCCCTCCCCACCCCACCCCCCAACCATTCGAATTTCTGTAGGCGGGTATTATTTTAATGATATTCTAATGGACCACTTTGTGACATCACAAAGCCCGGAAACCAAACCCTGTAGTCCAAATGAACCGTTCGTTGTAGTTCTTGAAAAGGGATTTTTAAAAAACGAAATATCTCCCTTTGGAGTGGACTTTGAGATTTGTAACTTTCTAGATCTTTTTTATTCCCAAACATACACACTACACATTGACTAAAAGTGAAAAAGCATAATAGGACCCCTTTAA